CTCCTCATATGCCTTGCTGTCTAGACCCTTCACCATCTTTGTTACCCTACTTTAGACCCTGCAGTAGTTTTATATCTTTCTTTTAGCTACCCCTGGGTGTGGGCCCAGCTGTATGCTGCCTGCCTCCAAAGAGCCAAGCCGTTGCACCACTCTGGGGCTCAGCAGAGGCCATGCACCCACCCGAGGCCATGGGTTCACAAAATGGCGGCGGGTGCCAGTGGGGCAGCGCTCACTTCCAAGGGCCCTGTCTGTATTTGTTGTGCCTTCTTCCACAAGTTCCTTCTAACTTTTCAGCAGATTGCTGAACTGACAGCCTGAGAGCTCCAAATCTCCTGTTCAAGCTCTATTTTCTGAGAGAAACACCACTGCAGGCATCCTTGCCTCGCCCCACACATGTAACTCTGTGTCAGTGGATAGAAATGTCTTGAGGAAATTGAGACCCTTCGATGGAATGCCTTTTGCTCTTTTCTACTCAGAAGGAATGGGGAAAGGCTGTAGGAACTGGCTTTGTCCCTGGGATTAATAACTGGAAAATCAATTTGTCATTTCCCTGTCATAAATTAAAAGCTTATAGGCCTCATAGCATGAGTATAACAGAGGTTAGCACGTACTGAGGGAGGGCTCAAAGCTCACTCAGCAGAGCACATCTCTACTATACAATTTAAATTTTGTCTCATCCACAAAGACTATCTGACAGTATTTATATAAAAAGGGACATCCTGTGCAAAAATATTTTACCTGTTTCCTCACTGCTTCTGTGATTGTTGCTACTGAAGAAGGTGTACGCTTGAGGAAGGTTCTGGTCCTATTTTGATCAGTGTAAGTGACCTCTACATTGTGCACTTGTATCTGTAGGGGTAGTACAAATTAGTCATATTTAAGCTGATTATTGTCACTTGGGATTCGCATCTCTGAGCTGGTTCTTTGGGGAATAGAGAACCTCTACTCTCTCCCTTGTCTATTTTAGTGAAGTAAGAAAGCAACCAAGCCTTTTCAAAAGGGTGTTCAGCTGAGAGTAACAAAGAGGAGTGATTTGTGAAAACCAAAAGACCAGGGGTGAAAAGGACCCTTTTAATACAGACAAATGTAGAACAACAAAAGTGCATTCTCAGAGGAAAGTACCTGCTGGTAAGTTTTTGTAGTTGAACGGAGGCTTGGTTTAAAATAAATAAGCCTAATTTGTTATTGGTCAGGTGAAGAAAGAACATTTTCTTAAAAAGAACAGGCAGTTTATATCTCTGTAAAATTATTATAATTCTAAATAAAACATTATTCTGTGAGGCATGCTTACAGAAAGTATCTAAAATGATCCTAAGAGTGAATGATCCATAATCTGACCTGAAGCAATATAAAGGATATTTTTGGCAGATTACTGTGTTTTGGGGTATTGCTTAAACTACTGTTAACTCACTATTTTATTGGAAAATTCTAATCAGTTTAATTAAAACAGATGTGGTTGCCAGATATTTTAGTTGCTTGTGCATAAATTATTGCTGATGACTACTTTGATTAAAGTAAATAAATTGAAGCATTTACAAGACACTTCACATCATCAGACATACACAGATGCCACTGGCTTTTCGGTCAGATAGTAGCTTAATTTTCTTTTCAGTCTATGGTTGGAATCCTACACACTTTTAAATAACAGAAAATTAAATTATTTATGTCTACAGCCTTTCTTAAACAGGTGTTTACCTTAAATTCATTAGAAACATCATGTTTTGTTTCCTCTTTAAAAGAGTAATTAAGATAAAATAGACTTTAATAAATTAAACTGTCCTGTTTCTTTAGTGTCCTTTGGATGAAAATGCGAAAGATTCTTGGACAAGGGTTTGCTGTTTAACAATATATTAAAAAAGAATCTTTGCAATTTGCTTAAATTTAAGTTCCTGTAGAGCTTCTAGGGTCTATAATGTCAGTATAGCTGTGCATACACAGGATATAAGTCTTTGTGATATCTCTTTAATAGAAATAAACAAAAAACACTTGACTATCTAGCTACACTGTTCAAGTCTTAAAGCTCTGCATCTAGTCAATTTGTATTGGTAGTAGGTTTAAAAAATAATCAGAGGAGGTTGTGTTTAACATATTTAATTATCTTTCCTGCAGAGTTTGCTGTTTTTCAAAAATGGGCAGAGTGGCTTTTATTTGTCTTCCACAAGCAAATGACTACTTTGTATGCTTAGCTGGGCAAGAAAAAAGTACACTGGGTTTTGCATTTAAACATGTTATGACAAAAGTCAAAAAGGAATCTGAAAGACCTTTCTTCAGTAGAGGCAAAAAAAAAAAAAAAAGAAAGGTGATTTGTGGAATTAATTCAAATATTATGATGGTTCTTTACTTGCAGATGTAGTTTATATGGTCTTGCAGCACCTACCACACCAACAACAGTTTGTCAGTAGAAAAAAAGTATATAAATTATATACATTTGTATTACATATAATGCTTTTTTGTATAAAGTATATAACAGTGTGAAAGATGTAGTAAAAGATGGAAAGCATGGGGATGGGAAGTTAACTCACATTAGGCTTGGAAAACCGGATTATGTTTGTATTGCCTTCTGCTGTGTTGCATCAGATAGCATTTCTTTGTCATCATTTCTTTGTGCTGAATAAGATAGTAGAAGTGAAATTTTGTTCTGATGTGAGATTAATTTAAATAAGAGCTTATGAAGAATGCAGATATTCTGGTGGTGTAGGGAGAGGAGTGGGAGGACTGTTGAGTTCTGTTAAAGATGCAGGTATGTTTTCATTAAATCACAGGTGCTCTTAAGATGTACAATGTGAATAGCTTCCTCTTCTTTCAAGGAGTAATCTGTTGTAAAGGCCTTCCAGCTTGACCACAACCAGCATGTGAGATGTCCACTTCTCTGTAGGCTGTTCATTGCAAGGGAAGGAAATAGTATTGCTACTTGTCTTCTTTTCTTTATTTTAACCACTTCACATGGAAGCTTTAGTTGTTTTCAGGGGTCATAACACTAAATGTGATAACTTATTTAATGACATATCCCAATTAAAGTGTCCCAGTCGTAAGTCAGAAGCCTGGTGTTTTACATGCTTCACAAACAATATACAGTTCTCTTTTGAGGAGGTTCTTGAAAATGAGAGAGCCATGTGGATGTCCACAAAAACCTTCTCTGCATGGGGACAGGAGGGTAAGAGAAAGCACAAAGGCTTCTGTTCCCAGCAGCTTGATGGTAGAGAAATGGAAGCAAACAGTGACCACAAGAAAGCTTATAAAAATACATAAGACTGTTGAGGGAGAGAAGCCCACAAAGAATGAAGCGTCTGATTTGAAATGTTTGCTCTTGCTGTGTGTTTTCCTTGGTCCAGGCTTCCGCTTCCATTGTTCTGTGGGTTCTGTCGAAGATACCCTTGCATGAGCTGTGTATTTTTTTCTTTTCTGTCCTCCCCCTCCTTTTATTTATTTGACAGTGCCTTAATGAACATACTAATCAAGGTGTTCCTGTAACTGAACTAGTCAGTAATAATGATGTATTTTCTATAAAACGTAGTTCAGTGTTTGGTTGCTCTTTTGTCCATTTGGGCTTTGGTGCAAAGTTTAATAGACTCAACACTTTATAGATTTTTTTTTAATTATTATTATTATTTTTTTTTTTTAAGAAATAAGGGACTAGATATAAAAGCTGTTTTCAGATTGGGTACAATATTGTAGTAGTAAACTGTGTAGCGTGAATATATCCACCATTCACTGCTGCCTAAATTGAAGTGTGCTTCGTGCATTTATTTGTAAAATGTACATTGATAGCATGGAAGCCTGAAGAGGATAGCAGCTTGTGCATTCAAATTTAAAGAAATATGTAAAATCCTTGCTATCACTACTTCTGGTGTGTATGGATTCCCTACGTTATGTGGTTTCCGTGGTGGTATGAAGCACTTAAAATGCTGAGTGAATGACAAAACACCTGAGTAGCGAAGAGAACTGTCAGGAGCCGGCAATAGTATTAACCTTCAGAATAGAAGATGTTGTATCACCAGGAGAATAGGTTGAACTACATAAATGTGGGCTCACTAAGAAGAAATTAGATGTTTAATAGAGAATGTAATTAAATTTTAAAATGTATTAGTTAATTTGACTAATGTGGATTCAGATTGTTTGTTTCAATTTCACAATAGACATTGTAGAAGACTACAATGAGGAGCTAGAATTTGTTCAGAAATAGTTTCGGGTACTGAGTATTGTGTTGAGTGCAGACTAGTGAGAAAAAATAAAGCCACATATACTGGGCATTCAAAAAAAAAAAGAGCAGTCTTGACAACTGAAAGTGAAATCTGTGCATTATCAATACATGCTGTGTTAAGAAACTTGAATTATGGTTTGATAGTAAATTGGACATGCGAAAGCGAATCATAGTTATACCAACAAGGTAATTGGTTTCTAAAAGAAACATCTCAGTAAGAAATGTCTGTTGGAGACAGATGCTCTACAGCCTTGGAGACTAAAGTTTTGCAACAGCAGGTCAAGCTTATCAAACGCAGGGAGTCAGAAGGTTGCTTTGCAGGGTATAGTCCCTATGGCTACTAGCATGTCCCATATGCCCAGGATATACGACTTGCTTTGCAGAGTCCTGTGCTCATTGAGATGGAACATGACTATATAAACTCTGTTAGTAGCCTTTGCACTATAATGGACCAAGATGAATTTGAACAGGCATCCCAGATGACATTTGCTTTCTTTCTCATTTTTATCAATCGACTAAGCTACTAGTCTAGATGATTCCCTTCCCTGATTCAGCCTGTTCTGTCCTTTTGTCTGTTCACAAGAGAAGTTACTGGCTTTTGGGTCTTCCTCTTGATCTGCTGCTACTACCATAATGTATCTCAGAGTGGTCCATTTCGTACAATTTTATGCCTGTCTCTGAATGGACTTCCCTTATTGCTACTCATTAAAAAAGTACATGTGTGTAAACATACTTTCTAGCACAGAGGAAGCTGAACTTAATCAACCTGGTATGTTCTGTGTCTGTTTTCTTTTTCCAGTATTTGATTGCAATTTTGAATCTCCTTGTGAGCTGGAATATTCATTTTCATCAAAAGATCAGGAAGCCCCCAACAAAGCCTGGCTGAGAGTGAGTGCAGAGGATATCTCACAGCTAAACATCCCAGATGTGCCAGAGAGAGATCACTCCGAGAATACGCCAAAAGGTAAGATGAATACAACTATGTCATGCCTTCATTATAGTGGTTGGTTTTAAACAACCAACCAAACAAAAATAAACAACCAACCAACCATGTCCTTTTAAATACTTCAGGCAGTTATAATCCTTTCGCTGCAGGAGGCAATGAATTCAAACAGTATGATAAATGAAAGCAGTCACTTTGAATATGAAGTATCTGCTTTTATCTACATTATATATATGAGAAGCAGAATATAAAGCATAATATTGTGTAAATTCTGTATAAGGCTGATCTCTCTGTGGACAATATCTGGATGAGAATAGTCCTGTGGTGCCCATGTTTAAGGTTATTCCGTGGTTGAACAAAATATTTAAAATCACTCAGTCTGGTTTTACCACTGCTCTAGGTGCTGTTTATCCTTGTGTTCAGGGCTTAGGTTTTCTATTTGGTGTGAAAACAAAAGATAGGTTTTGCCCTTAATGTAAGAAATATTATTGCCTGTAGAGACAACTAGGAAACATGAAGAGAAATGAGTGTAACACTTTTCTTCTTTCTTGGATGAAAATGTGGTTTGCTGGAATTACTTTTCCTGCTTATAATCATAACTGTGAACAGCAGTATATTTCTTAAAGATTTTAAGTGATAAAAAAAAATTGGTAGGTATATTTTTACCCTCCTAAACATGAGAAAGCTAAAAATTCTTAACACCTTTCCTGCTGTTTAGTAAGATCTGCTTGAAACCTTGGCCTATAAGGGTGGGGTGGTGGTTGAGAATGGAGATACAAAGTGGAAAAGTGGAGTTAGGGCTACAAGCTTAACCAGGAATATGAAACGAAGAGGTATAGGGAAGGATAGCAAACATTATTGGAATTATGGAACAGTTTTTATATTAGGAAAAAAAATAAAAATTAAATGCTTTATTCTGTCTGCAATGTGAGGACTGTGAGATCTATAAAAGTGTGCATTGAAGAGCACTGGGAAGCAGCCATGAAGTTAAAAATACCGTGTATAGAACATACAAGAGGAAATATTTTTCTTGTAGTATCTGAGTAAATCGTGGTAATAAGATGCATGAATTAATGTTATGGTGGCCAGAAGTATGCATAAGAAGGGGTGGATAAATTCTTGCAGAACACATTAATCCCTGGTTATTTAATTCAAGTCTGCTTACAGTCCCTGACTCAAAAAGCTTCTATTACAGAAAGCTGCAAGTGAAAAAATCCTTTCCTCACTAGCCAGCATCAGAGATGTCATTTGACTTTGCAGACCTGCAATAGGACAGTACTGCTTGTAACAGTTCTTATGTTCAAGTAAAGACTAAGGAAAAGTTTCAGTGCAGCTTTTGTTCATGTTCTTGAATTCTGTTTTCTCATCCTTAGCAAGAGTATAGAACTTTTCCCCAAAAAGCCATTATAAATTAACTTTCAAGGCCGATTGCTTGAACACTGGTTCATCAGCAAACCAAGTCATTTTAGTGCGTTCTGTATTGTGTTTAAAACAGATGGACCACATTTGTGATGCATGCAAATATCTTCTAATTTTCACATCAAAGAACATACATATGCATAATAAATTTCTTGCTACAAAGATAGTTAAGTGAAAGTTTGAGGTAAATCAGAATGTCTGCTGCTGAGAAAGTATTTTTCCTTTTCTTAAACCCTCAAGCAAGCTGACTGCTAATGAAATTTTTGAATTTAAACATGCTTGTTTTGAATTAAAAATAATAGTTGTTGCTTTCCTGGAGTGGGAAAAATGGAGAAAACAGAGAACAATAAAGGTATTCCAGGTGAAGGGCCTGACCAGGGCACTGCAGTAGTGCTTTTCTTTGGTGGAGTTACACCTTTGTCTGTATTTAGTCTTTTTTATTTATTTTTTTATGCTTTTAATTTAATTGCTATTTTTTTTAAATATGTTGGGCAATTTTCTCCTAAGCCCCTCAATAGAACTGTTGGTCTGAAACTCATAGGTGACTAACTTTTTGTGTATAAAAACTCATTTGAAAAATCAACACTTGGAGCTGGCATCTCTACTTTAAATCACTTTAATTACAGCTGCTTGGCACAAATAGTTATGCGGTCTGTTTCATTCTGAAATAATTAAGCACAAGTAATTCCAATCCCCAGTGGTTCCTGCAAATTGTACTTCCAATTATCTCAATCTCATTTCATCTCCTTTGCAGACAGTAATGCACGGAGAGAAACAGATAATGTAACCAGCTTTTGAGATGGTTTAGGTCATCCTTATAACTTGACTATCAAGTCATGTTAAGACACTGATAGAGATAAATGCCATAGGTATGATTCATTGTGCTTCATAAACATTTATGTAAAAGGTTTGTCAGGAAATCATTGGTAGATATCCCGAAGAAACACACTGGAAGTATTTTTACTTATTTATTTATTTATTCATTCCCTGCAGCATGATACAGCTCAGTGTCTAGGAATCAGATCAAATCATCATGGAACTGAGTACCTAGAGGAGGAACAAGTTTTAGATGTCTCAGTGTTTGTTTATGGTCACATCTAAGTGCTACGTTCACTTGACACATTCATTGTGTAGTGTCACGCAAATCATAGGTCTGAGTAAGGATAAATGTTGAGGTGACAAAGTCTGATATTAAATTATTCAGTGTTGGAAATTGGAGGTCTGGTTTGCAAAGAATTGAAAAAGGATGCTTAACCAGACAATGGTGGAGGGTGAAACTTAGTGTAGATTATGTGAATGGAAGTGGTGGGAGAAACAGTCTGAGTTGGCATATATAAGAATAGATTCTGATCTGGTTGCAATTATTCAAGCTGATTTTTGAGTAAGAATAGAACTGTGAAAATATCAACTCATTAGCAGTCGTAAAATAAATGTCGTGTTGGAATTAATTGGGAAAAGAGGAGAAAATAGAAAATAATACACTTCTATAAATATGTGGGTCACCTATATCTAGAATACATCATTCTTTTCTGGTTCCCATACATCAAAAATTATTTAATACATCTGGAAAAGTTATTAAAAGAATGGAAACAAGGATGCAATGGCTTTCTTTTAAGAGCCCTCAAACAGACTAGGGATCTTCTCTGCCTAGAAGAGACATCTAACAGTGGCAATGGTTTACTAAATCATGGGATTTTATAAAATCTTTATGAAAGATTTTTAAAGGTTTGTAAACTCCCAAGACTTTATAAAGTAAGGAAATGATGAATATAGAAGGAATATTCCTTATTTTTCTTAATACAGAATTGAACATCATCAGATTAAATTAGTAGGTGTCAGGTTCAAAACAAAAACAAATGAGATCCCTCAGTATTTTGCACAGAATAAAACTGTAGGACCAGTTGCCAGAGGGGACTGTTTGAGCTAAAACCTTCTGCAGGTGCACAGGAGGTGTGAAGGGAAGAAAATAATTACCACTATTACAATCCTTTTCTGGCTCAGAAAATCCTTGTGCAATATATCCCTGAAGGCCAGAGGATTAATCTGGGAAAGTGCAACTGTTTGCTCACCCTGTTCATATATTTGTTCCTATGTATCTACACCTGTCTGTTTTCAGAAGCAGATGGCTGACATTGATGGATCTTCAGCCTATGTTGGCAGGGTTGGCGTGGTGTTCTGTTCCTCTCCCATCTTTCACCCCAATTTTCTCTTCCTTTATGAAAAAGGAGAGAATTGTACTGTTTTGGAACAACTTCTAGAGTTAGAGAGAGAAAAGGTGTGACTTAAATATTTAATATTATTTGCTGTTCTATGAAAGTCTTGTAAATGGTATGGAACCATTTCTTGTGCAAAAACATTGACTGGTAGGAAGAATTGCAGGACTGTCTGTAGAAATCTGTAGAAGTGTGTGTGCCAAGATACTTTGTATGGGATTTTCAGAAATTCTGTGCTACAGTGCTTCAGTCGTCTCCTAGGCCCTTCACAGTCCATGAAGATCTGCTGGAGCTACTAATATTTTCAAGTCAAGCTTTTTAACATTTTGCAGAATTAGAGACTTAATGTTAAAATTCCACTGATATGCTAATGATTGACAAGAAAACCTCTACTAATGGTATCTGAATCTGGTCTGTATGTATTGCAATGAGTAGGCAATCCATTGCTAGACATTTTTTCTTTTAATTCATAACTAAACAAAACACTGCTATAAAAATCTAGAATTCTGCATCAATGAATGCTTTTTTTTTTTTTTTTTTGACGTGTGATTAATTCTTAATTATTTATGATCCTTCCTAGTATATTATACCACCAAATGTACTGCTGTCTATTGTAATGAAATATGAGGAACTGGAGATCATGCAACCATGGCAGCATTTCCTAAGGAGGCTAGTTATACAGTCCAGTCAGTGGTTAGAAGGACAGAGTTTGTGAACTGGCGAGGCTGCACTTTGCAGCAGTGTGGTCAAACATGTTTGCCATGCCCAAGTGGAAAAGTCATTGACCTCTCTTATAAACTTCCAGTGGGTCAAACCAGCCATAAATTCTATGCATCTGTATTCAACTCTTGATTCAAACTCAGGGTTTTCTGTACGGCAGAGCCACTGAGTAACAGGTGGTTTAGTATTCATCAGAAAGTGTGCCACTCAAGAATTCATCCCTCCTGTGACCTTTTCACAGTGCTGGTATTATCCTTCTCCCAGACAACCCATGGATGAGCTTCCTATCAGCAACATCACATTGTTGTGTTGCCCCTGGGCTCATAGAGGACAGTAATTTTGGTCTCTCATCTAGGAGCACAGTGCTTCTGAGATAGATTTTACATGGCAGAGGAAGAGAGAAACCACTAGCACAAAGTTCATCTTGTGTATTTAAGGAGGAAGGACCAGCAACAGTGGAACCCAAAATATGTATTCACAAACCAGACCAAGATCTGTGCTTGGTTGAATGTCAGTGTGTGTTTACAACTGCAAACACAGTTTTAAACTTGAAGGATTAGAAGCTTGACCACTCCTGCAAGTGTTGCCTACTCCTCATTTAAGTCTTGTGATACTAGATAAAGTGAATTGCAGCTTCTATTATCTGAATATTTCAGGACCATGAAAATA